TCTCCCAGGTGCTAGGATTACAAGGCGTATGTGTTTTATTCCTTTCTGGTTAAATGTGCTCTGACATATGGTCAACAGCATTGGTGGTGTGTCACCTGGAGAGAAGAACAATTGGTTGTTCCCAAAGGGGCCTCAAGGAATGGTTTTCATCACCCAGGGGAGTTTTTACTGGAGCTTGGATGGGATTCCCAAATGTGACTCTCAGATTGCATGTATTAGATCACACATTAGGCTGCGTGTTAGAAAGTGTACATTTCAGCCTCTGTCCTGCCCTCCTCTGTCCGTGTCTCCGGGGACAGGGCCCATGACTCTGCTGGTTTCTTGTGTGAATCTTACACATCAGACTGAGACCACTGGGCTGGGGTACATTGCTGGCAGGCCCACAGATCATTATTGGACAACTCAAAAGACTCTCTCTTACCCACAAAAGAGCCCAGAGTGACAGGGCCCAGACTGGTCTGAGTAGATGAGCTGTGTAGTTGGCCGTGCCCCCAACTCATACCTGATGATCCATACCTCCTGTTGACCCATTTTATAGGAGCTTGAGAAACTGGCTTCGCGAAAGTTGAGGATAAATGCTAAAGAAACTATGAGGATTGCAGAAAAGCTCTATACTCAAGGGTGAGTCTTCTGGATGTGGGGGAGAGTTTGAAGCATTTTTATCAGGATGAAAGATCTTAGAAATAAACTTTATGAGGAAACACACATAGTTGAGATATCACCCAGGCTCTGACATGGAAGGATTTGGACATTGATGTCTCTTTTCAAGTGCCCTCTTTGAAAAGGGCATTTTAATTTGAGAACCTACAAGTAAATACAGGTCCTACTCTCGACTGATGGTTCCCTGGCAAGTGGCAAAGAGCAAGCAGAACCTCTGGGAGTTGTTTACCTGTGAATATCACCCCTATGTACTGAATTTTTGAAGATTTATATGAAAGTAGAATATAAACTATTTCAAATTTTAAGTGGCTCATTGAAGATTTAAATTGCAAACAGTATTTTGCAATAGTTTTATTGGATGGCATTGTACTGTAAGAAAAGTTGGAGAAGTGCACCCTGATGGAGCTGCTGGAGCAGTGAGGCACCTGTGATGTACCCTCAGCCAGGAGGTGTTGTCAGAGTCCTGGGCCTTGGTCCTGTGCCAAGCTGGCCCTTTCCCTTCCCCTTTGGCTTCTCTGAGTACCCTGGCAGTAGAGCTGGCTGCTTTTCACTCCATGAGAGGTACCTCAGAACCTTCTCGGTATAGTTAACCTAACTTGCATTCAGTTTAGTTGGCTATATGAGATGGGTGCTTGCGGGTGTTACCAGGTGCTATCAGTTGTTTATAAGCCAATTAAGAGCCTAGAAATTTCTTTTTCTGTTTGTTTGCCTTCGTTTTAGGTATATCAGCTATCCCCGAACAGAAACAAACATTTTTCCCAGAGACTTAAACCTGACAGCATTGGTGGAACAGCAGACCCAAGATCCACACTGGGGAGCCTTTGCCCAGAGCATTCTGGAGCGAGGTGGCCCTACCCCCCGCAACGGGAGCAAGTCTGACCAAGCTCACCCTCCCATCCACCCCACCAAATACACCAGCAGCCTGC